CCTAAGTTAAGGACTACAGCTATACATATGCATCTAAGCATAGAGCTAAGGATGAGATGAATGTGAAGAATTAAAAATCCTGATCCTGGAATGGATCTTTCGTGAGTAGCGGAAGAGTGTAAACTCCAAGAGTCTTGAGTATGGGCGCGACCTCAGACTATTAATAATACTTACACTTTATGTGAATAAAACCTAGGACCGAGGCAACTTGAGAAGAATTATTTATACCTCTCTCAAAGTGAATGTTACCAGGATACACCGCATTTTTCGATGGGAAGGAGTTTATATTGGCAAATACCGTCTGTCGATGTTCTTTACGCGCTTGGCCCTTTATGCCATCACTAATTACTAGAAGTTCGAGATACACGTATTTTTCTATTAACAACAGGCGTTAGCACAGAGAGATGAAGGTTCGCTACCACTATCTAAAAAGCAATTGGCGCACCGTTTTATTCATCGCACACATAGCTATAGATGGTTATGCAGCACTTAGGACACAGTAGAGTTGGTATTCTGGGTGGTAAAAAGGTTAAAAATCTAGGGCTATGGCATATCGGTCGAAAATCATCGTGGAAGGTCGTTATTCGGACTCGGAAATCGAATATTAGCGCTAAATTGTACTGCCCGTTGGCGGAAGCGATTAACGGGACTGATACGAACGGTGTGTAATGACTCGTAATGCTCCATCACTGTATCGTGTTCTGTTTTGTAAAAGTAAAATTCAAGCCACAATTGCGGCTGTGCAAAATTATACTTGTAAATTTATGACAGGTAAATAACTGTATGCCAAGAAAGTAAGTGTAAAAAAATGGATCAATACGATATACCAGTATGTGGGTACCTGTGATAAAGTATCATGGCTTGCGATGAAGTCTGGACTAAGCCAGAAAAGCTAATTCTGAATATATTACGGTGGTATCTGACAAGCGGCTTCGAGTATTTGCTATAGGATAAAGAAGAGCGGGTGGGAAGAAATTTGGGGGGTTTAAGATATAGAATCTCCGTCTGCAATGGAAGGCCTAATGCAGGATGCCCTTACTAATGTGGGCAAAAACTACAAGAAAAAGCTGCTGTCTCATGTTCCTAGTGTATAGAGATGGAACTCGAATGTTTACAGATATTCTGCTGTACACATTCCTTCTTTCTCTTATGGCCCTACATGATCTAAAAGCTGGCCTGTAGGCCTCACCTGCTCGAGACTGTTATTTAGTGAGGGTTAACGGTGTACTAAGATAATAGAGCCATAGCTTGAAGACCTATCAGCTACTACAGCAACCATCGCCTAGGGGATAAATATATATGAAGAGATAAATAAAAAACGCTGCTTGTAGGTATATGCAAGCAGTAATTTAAAAGACTAAGTTAATAACTGAAGATTATTCTTGTTAGTAACTCGCTTCTTAGGGTGCCAAATATACCAGCTTCGTTGCCAGAGCGCGGGATTTTTATGACTTATGGGTAAGACGAGAAAGTCGCTATGTGTCGTCTTGCCTTATGTTTTTTTCAGTTGCTAGCCTAATATGTCTTATATTCGTGGGTATTGGCTGTACCCACACATCGTCTCCTCAAAGTGAACTGTATTTTATGAATGTCAGTGCATAATACTCCGCTGGAAAGCGTGGAACCGAGCAACTGACTGTGCAGGTCAATCTAACGGGGTTTGGACCAACTCTGGAGAAGAAATTAACGGGACTCATCTCACAACGGTCAGTCTTTGATGATTCCTTAGCTGCGGTAGCAGTGTCTACTTCAGATGTTTCGTCAACACTGCAGGATCCAAGCAACACTGCCCAGGATGCAGGCAACAGCGGCCTTGATGGTGTGACGCGAGCGGTGGGAAATGCGGTAGATGAAGCAAAAAATCAGGCTCAGGATGTTTCTGATAAACTTGCTCAGATAGAGCCCAGTATAGAGGGGTTCTACATCATCGGGCTTTGGGGATACTGCCAAGGGAGCTTCAATGGAACTGGCTCGACCGTCAGGAAATGTACACCTCCAAGCTCGTCCTTCTGGTTCAACTTTACTGAAGTACTCGGGCTGGAGAGCTCTTGGGCAGAAAAGATATTTCCTAGCCAGGTCGAAAAGGTAGTAGGTGTGTATAAGGTGGCATCGAAGGGAATAAGCGCCACCTATATAACCGCACTTACCACAACTGTACTCACTCTAACTACGGGATTAACAGCCATGGTCTCCGGCCGGGGAAGCTGCTTGGTCAGTATATGCGCAATGGTATGTAGTTTCAAGCTTAAGAACGTGGTCTTAAGCGCTAACCATATCTAGATGTCGATGGTTTCTAATATAGCAGGGTCAGCAACAGTTACAGGGGTGTATGTCTCACTTGTCGGTGTCCTTAAATCTGTGTTCTATTCCGCTGGGATTATTGCAAGCTTGGGCCAGAAAATGTTAGCAACTAGCTGGCTGGCTTCTTCATTCTCCGTGGTGGCATGTATTTTTTGGTTGTTGAGTAACTGTTGCTGTTAGGGATCACGTAAAATGGACTTCGCTCTGTTAAATCAATTTATACTGATATAGCACGCGTGTGGGTTCGTAATAACTAAAAATCAACGAACATACGATGATAGTCGAGCGTTAAAGGACGTTAACATGGCTGTCGACCTTTGGACCATAAATTAGATAAATAAGACGGGGGCAGAACATATCTAAAATCTAGAGTACGTTCTTTTTCGACATACTCTATAGAACTATGTTAGCAGAGCAATGAAGTTTGTTTTAAATAAGACATACTAGGTCTGCATCTCCGGAGGAAACCGTTGTAAGACAATGTGGTAGAATATGGGCAACTTCCAGGTATTGAAAGCGGTCCTTGATTCGTTTCTCGATTCTATTCCTTCATCGTCCTTGCAACCTTCCCCATTCTGCTCGAAACGTTTCCTAGAATCGCTTTTACCATTTCAAGTAATTACACAACGATAGTAATCAAGTACAAGACATCTTTTTCATTGGATAGATACACGATATGAAGCGTCGGAAGACGTAGATGTTTGTATTGCGGACGACGATGCAAGCGTTGGTTGCAAAATCTTGACAGATGAAGCTCGGACTGTGACTACCCAAGATAAACAGTGCTTCTCACCGTAGAAAGTCAATAGCCAACATACGCGGAAGAAGGAAGTTCTCAACAATGCAATCAACGACTACTTCGATCGCACTCTTTGTTCCCTTCTTCTGGTCTGGACCCCAAGCGAAACTATCGAATGAACGACAAGGCAATTGCAATACCAGGATCTGTTGAAAAAAGCTTTCCGTAGATTAAGAGAAGAAGAATGCTAAAATGTATCCTCAGCTACAACATGCTCATATGTGGCCTTGATTGCGCAGCGGAGCGAAGCGGAGCTAGCAACATACTGGACAGGTTTTCACCTTCTCGATTCTGATTGGTTGTAGGTTTTGTCCATCAATATAGATTTTTATTGGTTAAAAATTAACGCCTGACATCACTTACTACTTTTTCTTATATAATCAGTCTAAGCATAACGTAATCGGTAAACGAGCGGGTCACGCAAACGAGCGGGTCACCTCTGTATTCCATATAAAAGGGCACTTTTTATAACCTAAATAACTTAACAACTAGAAGTAGTAGCGATATGATACTCAGTATAGAGATATATATAATATCTATAAATATGGAATATATTTTTCCAAAATTCTAATTATTTTATTTCAAGCTCCAGATACAATTATATATAAATTACAAAAAATACATTGTAATTTATTTTACTTGGGGGAATACTTAATAGAGAGCTTTCTACTTTAAATTTATAATATCTTAAGTAAATATAAGGATCTATATTAAATCTTGAATCCCCAGCAGCTCTGGTTGTTGAGATATAAAAAGTGATTTTATATAGTATATCACAGTGTCCCGCTCGTTTGCGTGACCCGCTCGTTTACCGATTACGTTAACTAGTTAGTTATTTAGAAGATCTAGATTAGTAATCTATATAGAGTAGTCTACTTTATCTAGATTCCTAGATCATTTAAACGATTTGCATTACCTAGATTCTAGACCATTTGAACCCGCTGCATTGCCTAGATTCTAGATCATTTGAACGCGCTGCATTACTATAAGAAGAAGCGCCATCGAGTGTAGGGGGGTGGGGTCCCCCCAATATCCCCGAAGGGGACTGAGGAGCGAATAAAATAAGCGGGGGTACCCCCCGGAGCGACGGGCAAGAAATCTATAGGGATTTCTGTAGTTAAAGTCTATATAGGCAGGCGGTAGGCAAGCCCTCGGCAGCGCATGTCTTTGGCAGATCGTTGAACTGCCACTACCTAGTAAGTGCCGCAGGTTGTAACCCTTTGCAGTCCTTTCGGGGCTATACTATTAAAATTAAGATATAAAGAAGGTTGTCAACCGATGGACTCTGGCAAGGTGGTAGAGAAAAGAAATTTATGGGATCTAGGATTTTTCTTTTACAGATGACCGATGTTGATGCAAAAGGGTGTGGAGGAAGTATCAATATTCGTGATCCGGAGTGTGAGGTGCGAAGAAGCCAAACAAGGTTTACTATGACGCATCTGGGCCACGTGATTCCATGGCTTTTGCTACTGGTTCTTGTGTACACTTTCGGCTTCTGGATCATGTGACTATCGAAGTTGAGACAAATGGTCACGCTGGACCCCGATGATAAGTGACCAATGATAATTAGTCTGACAAAGTTATTAAACCCGAACGAATGTGCCTTAATGCTATGGTCTATCGGGCATTCGGTATAGCTGCCCCTCTATTCCCAACGAACCAAGACACTCCGAATGCTCTCCCCTCCTCATATTTACCTGACCTTCCCCTGTCCATTAGTGGTGGAAGATGTTATCACTACTGACAGTCCTAGAAGCTTGACAGAATATCTTAAACAGCAGTTTTCTCGTCTATTATTCTATATTTTAGAAATATTCTGCCTAATATCTATTTAGTATTATATCTCTATTATATCTATACGCTGTCTTAACGCCAGATACTTATTTAATTGTTGGTAGCCATTTCTATACCCCTGTTTACTTAATATCGACACATAAGAGCTTAGATTTCTTGAGAGATACCAAAAATTTCTAATAAATTATTAGAGGATAATTACTACGCGACGCATATACTGATCCTCAATTTATATAATAAAGTTGCGACGCCGGATAAGGTCAAGTATATCGAGATAACTTTTTATTGATTCCTTTGACTTGGCAACAAAAGTCAAGCTACTAAGAGCCAGTGTCAAATTTATAACTGCTCTAAGGGATTTTGATATAAGGGCATCTGAAAGCCTTAAGTGGACTATAATGGGCGGATATACATGGCATATTTGTGAGCAATACTTGGCTCATGACTAAGTTACAGCCTACCATGGTTATCACGGGGCGTGCCTGGGTCTGAGAACAATCATTGGGGCCGGCAAGGACACCGGTAATATCAAGCACATGGTACATATGTCCGGCTTTCCAATATACTATAGTCTTTTTCACGTCATCATACGGTCTTTTCCGAAATCGATCACTCGCGAACATACGATGATTTCTTACTTGCCCCACTCCAAGCCTTCAGTGCTGCCAAATTCTCCGACCTTTTTGAATACAAAACATGGACAGAAGATATAATTTCTGTGTTTTTGCATAATAATTTTCTCGTCATCAATGATTTAACGTCAAAAGATCATCTTTAGTAATTATGAAGTGGATATCTTCGTCTTCATCCATCCTCTCATTAAACGTGGACAGATAACAAGAAGGGAGGGAGAAACGAACGCCATATGGTGAAGCTTTGGATGATTGCTTCATCAATTCCCACCAGTTGCGTCTGTGGCACTCGAACCCTATAATCTCGCTTGCAATTGCCCCGACACTGAGATGCTCGTTGAATGATGTGCCCCTAGCTCCATTCCTCCAGCCGTGGTTGCGGTACATCTTCCAGACATGGTCAGCCACATCATATTCTTCGCTTAGTTTGCAGCACACTTCTTTCTCTATCTCGTAAATTGGAGACTTCAGATCATATTCCTCAAGTGAAAGCAGTGAATTGAAGTATTGCAGAGTTTGGAGGTCTATTTCATCCATCCTGAAAGCGACAAGAATGTCAAACGGTGACAAGTACGGCTGAAGGCGTCGTAGCAAAGATATCCAGTTGTTGAGAAATGAATCATTGGGATCCTGTGTAAAAGCTTGGTGTTCGTCCGACGAAATCACCCAATCTGCGAATGTTCCAGGCCCTTCAAGAATATGTAGGAGCATAAAGTTGGATATAAAATCAAATGCCTCCAAGATCTGGAACGACTCTTCTAGGGTCCGATTCGGATTATCAGACCACATCTTCGAAGTGGTTGTAGTAAGCCAATCAAAGCTTTCCAAGTCTTGGCACAACGTAGCAAACTGAAGCATTTTGGTGTCCAGAAAGCGGGCCATGACTGCTCGATAGAATTTCCCTTTAGAGACAGCATGAAACGTTTGATCTGAGTGTGACTGGTATATTTTACCAGTGATCGCACACTTCCAATCAAAATACAGCGCCAGGGCATAGTGTTGCTGTTGCTTTGACGTCAAAGAATCCGAATCGACAAATGATAGGACGGACAAGTACATTTTGAAATTATTCAGGTAGATGTCTCGAAGCCAGCTCGTTTGTTTCCACCAGTCAAGTATGTTTTCAAGATGCCGATCCACGACGTGAGATTGGACGCCGAAGTCAATTTTTGAGCAATCCCCAGACATCCAGGGAAGTGGTCGAATTGGCCCAGTTGGTAGTCTGCATGTTGAATTTTGTCCAGTTCCATACATTTCATCATGCAAGAGACAAAGAGAAACATCGTATTTATGATAATCAGATCTTCGCTATTCAGGGTTAGCATTATGATAAAGGGAGCAGGGCTGGAAATGGTACAATTATAGACGAGAGTATTGTAACTTTGTATTGACTGTAGACACCGCCTAGGATTCTACATGTTCTTGCAAGGCATACAGCATCATCCAGATCAGATAGTTGCTCAAAGACCATGAGTAGAAGCTCCAGCGAGAATGTTAGGAAATTGGCCATTCTAGGATGCGTAGCGATGAACAAGTTGGATTGAGACAGACTAAGTACTTAGTTGCTGAGAACCTTAAAAACTAAAGAATTGACAGCGGAGGTGATAAGAAGTATCTCGTGTCTCTGTTGATCAGACCGATCTTAAGAACGACTATATGGAAAACCAAGCATTGGCAAGACGGGCATCAAGATGTTCTATGGCTATAAATACCTCACCTAGAGAACTCCACCAGAGAGCATGTACACGCTGATCTTCTACTGTAAGAGCTATTTATGCTTATATATCAAAGATAGCACCATTTGGAATATTATTTCCATAAGCTTTTGAGCTTCCTGAGCTGATGCCTATTTCTAGAACAATGCGTTTAGCGGAGTGATTCTTCGGGCTGATGATTGCTACATAGCGGGTCTATTGATTTAATACAGATGGGACGATGTGCTTTGGAATATGGCAACTACCAATTAGAATCTATGTACGAGATGAACGGAATGGCATATTGTTTTAAGGAGCTAGGTAATTCCTACTCGAAAAATTAAGTTGGACAGAAATCGGACAGGTGCCCAACATCACGTGCACCTTCTTGCTGGCTCAAAACCCCACCATGCCCCTCCCGTCTTCAGCATTAAGTTACCGGCAAAAACAAAGACACGGTTTATCATGCCCTTGACTATACGGTGAGTCTGGAACGAACACATATAAGGACATATTTGAACTAATGTACAATCAACGTGATAGATTATTCCGAAACCCGGTATGAGCCACGAACTCTGGGACAGTGCTGAGAAGATTGTGCGAGAGCTGGGAGAGGAAATCGAGCGCAATGAGCCCAAAAGCCGTTTAAAACAACCGAACCTCGGCTGGCAATACGAAGGACAAGTCTTCCAAGCTGGAACTGATGGACTGAAGGCAGAAATGAAGAAAAAGGGATATAACGTAAGCTGTTCCTGTCCTCTCCTCAACTTCCTTTGTTTACTGTATCGCCCAATACCGGCCTAAATGAGATATTTTCTAATGTAGTCGGCTTTAGGTCCTCGCCTGTACTGTGTTCCATTTCTCCAAGAACGCGAAAATTCGAAATCCAACAAAGCATTATATTTTGCTACCGATAAAAGGGTCTTCGATACTAAAACCAGCGGAGCGTCCTTTACCGAAGCTACAAGCACATATAATTTATGACGAACCTGTGCTAGAATCTGATGGTGGAGTAGATATGATATGTATGGCACTCGAAGGGAAACATGGAGAAAAGAAGGTCGGTAAGGACGTGGAAGTAGAGTGTGTTGAGTAAGCAATAATATGGGAAACTAAAAACGTTGATATTATACTTGTGTATCAAATGGAAGCGATGACCCGACAACATTTTGGCCTTCGAGATTGAGACCTCGAGATATATTAGCGGCTTCGTTATTTGTCTCTTGAAATTCATCAAATTGAAACCCATCAGTTTGAGCGTTAGACTGATCAGACAGAGGATCGGATTGAACAGCACTGAACAATGGGGGTGTACTGAACCGAGTTGAAGGGGAATTCAATTGGAATATGTTGAATTCAGGAGGAAAACAGAGTTGAGCGGAAGGATACCCGAACTGGAACACATTAAATTCGGGAGGAATGTCAAGTTGGTTTTGTGAAGAATCAAACTGAAAGACGTTGAAGTCCGGGGGTGCTGTAGGCACGCGACGAAACATGTCAGGATCAGAGCAACCATCACCGGTATCAATTTCAGACGAAGGCGTTGAGTCATTGCGATCTGTATATATTTGCTCACTACTGCGACGCTGGACAGTGGGACCTGATTGAGGGGTTCGCACCATGTCGTGGGCTGTGTTGGAAATATGCCACCCGGAGTAGTTCGTATGGGCGCGTCTTTTGGCTTCCCGATGGTTTAAACGAAAGTCTGTATCGTCTCGGTGCTTCAAGAGGGACGAAGGTGATTGCTGACTGTTGAGACAAGTAAAGTTGCTATCGTAGTGTTCTCGGAATAGGTCCATCGTGAGGCTTTGATCATACCCCAGAATATCACATATCTCAGATAGCCTAGGAGCGTCAGCAGTAACCCTAAGCTTTACTAATACAGGTGTTTACAAACTCAATCGCAGGGCCAGACAGCAGCTTAACTATACATGGGATAGAGATAGGGATTTTTGTAGTCTGTTCAGCGTCCGAGAAACCCTTCGCTAACTGCCGTAGTGAATTCAAAAAATATAGTGTACTTTGGGACCCTGCTTCGGCGTATCGACCATAGAAATTTATAGTTTGCTCACCTAATACGTAAGTATCCTCAAACGAAATGTGGCGGAAAGCTTTGTTTACTAGTTAACCAGAAGTGACTTACCTAGGAGAAAAATCTCTGGGCTTCGCAGGTTCCATGCCGTGTTCGAGAGTTCTGTGATGCACCGGTTCACCCATCGCGCCCCAGATATAATCCGATCCAGATGGTGGCCCTCCGAGTTCGAGATATATAGCTTCATAGCTTCGTGGACGCAGTCCTTTGCTTCGCCTAGACCAAGAGCAACAACGCAAAAGGAGACAAAGATAAGGTCCTGAAACCGCGCCAGACAAGAAAGAAGCCGCGCCTCATTGTTGCATTTCTTCGTGAACAAGGCATATTTGCGAAGTGAGAGGAGGAGCTCGGAAACAGGTAATGAAATGCTATCAGCATCAGGGCAATAATCGCTGACGTTGAAGCCGCTGACTAGACCAGATATAACGATTTGGTTATCTCCGAGTCCTATTTCTTGGGCCTTACTATTCAATATCTTGATGTTTGCCAGTGACAGAAGACAATCTATCTCTTTTTGCCATCGTTCTTTGTTATGTCGAGGCGGTTTGCTCTTCGTTTCAGAAGGATTGTACTCGATTATCTGAAATTGTGGTACTGTTGTTTTTTCGTCCTTCGAGGTTGGTGTGGTATGCTGGCGACGGTTTCTGCTGCTCTCATAGGCTGGGCGGGTATGTTCTTCTGTTGAAGGAGGTAGCGTTGCAGGCTGAAGCAAGCCGGCATTATGAACGATATCCTCGAGAAAAGAGATATATTGAGCGTCGTCGCCATCAAAATTGAAACGTCTCATGGTTGTTGGAGAACGTATGGAGCTTGAAAAGAGCGATGTAGACTCTACATCGAATTACTACATTTTGGCTGCATGGGCAGATCTTTCCCAATACGGAACGACTCAGTGAGTCGTGCCTAAAAAGGTTAAGCTCTGATTTTCTTATTTAACTTCTACTTGAGGAACCGGACACAACCACCTGTTGCCCTCTCTTGGAACTAGCATGCATTAGTAGTGGGTAGTAACAAAACTTCATTAGGTATTGTTAAAGGAGTTAGTTCAGGATCAGCCTGGCTGTGTACCTTCCTAATAAGGCCAGGGGAGTGGAGCTACGGATCTCGAAAAATGACTCGGCGATGTCAGCGCTTACATTGAGACCAGTTAGGACCGAGAGGCACTATTAGAGTTCGAGTTAGCAGGAATAGTTATCGTCTATAGTGTGTTATTAAAGATGATGTACGACTCCAACGTTTCTAGGCGTAATTACCATGTTCCTTAATTGTTGAAATTATCTTAATTGTCCCACATTTTCCACCTTAATCCGCGAATAACAATGAGCCATGATACGGCTGACCATAATATCATCAATGGCCAAATTGAAATAAATTTAAAGCATGCAATCAACTAGCGGGGAATACTCCCCGTATGGTTCAAGCAGTATCCACCTGGCCCCCCCGATGGTATACCATTCAGTTTTATTAGTGGAGGACGAAAGAGTCGAGATCAAGGAGACACCCAATGAACATAGCATCCTATCGGCAGGATCGTCACCTTGGATAGGGTCGAAATCAGAGATGTCTAGCTCACGAATTCTCCTACTTTGCTCGTTGGTTGGGCTAAGTGAGGCAAAGCTCACAAATATAATAACATGAAAGCCTTGTCCAAGTACTCACCGCATTTTTGTATTGATCAATACTTGCCTCCATTGATTCATTATCTAATGGTTGGTTCTAATTGCGGTACATTCTGTCCGGCCATGGCTTGGTTTACCTTCCTCCGATTTTTTTGCCTTGATGCCTTTTATTATTGTTGGAAACAAAAATCCGAACGAAGAAAACCCGATGACCTGACATCCTTTTCCGGTGAGATGCCTCTTCCATACGAGGCAGAGATAGACTCTGTGAGTAATGACACCAGGTGGCATGGATGTTTCTAATGTAGAGTGATGGTAGACCAGTCGCCTTGACTACCAAAAGGATCATGGCTCTGATCCAAAAGTCGAGGAAGCCAAGGATCTCTTTAGGGAAGATTCATTTGACAGAAGCACTCTGGTTGGAACTACTGATGCGGTGGTCCGGCGATCTCTTCCCTCCTGCAAAGATGATATGAGTATGACTCCAGAAGATGATGTTTTCACCATTCCTTATGGGCCGTTTGTCGACAAACAAACTGGTAGACATATGTTAGAACTGATCAAAGTTACTACCGTATGCCTTGATGATTGTGAGATCTATGTGCCCTCCAAGCTAGTCTTGGACCGAGGCAAGGTCGAAACATTGTTTCGCTATGATGGCCTCAACTTTTTCATGTACGTGCCGCCTGAGTATGTAGAACAGCGGAGACGGATGCGAACGGATTTAGACGATTTGCAATTTGGTAGGAGTTACATCGAGCCAGCTGAATAGTTACTGATGCCTGCAAGTACGGGTCGTTTCTTCTTGTTTTTCTTCTGTCAAGAACCGTTTTCTTTTGGTAGGAAGCACATTGATTGATTGGTTTGCACCTGTAAATGTATATACAAACGGCCCCAACGGGATTCTGGAGTTGGCCTGGTGCTGCGGATTAAGGTATACGGCCAACAAAGCAATAGATGAATGAGCTTCTCATTGTCTTCTAGGGTGTTGGGAACGGAAAGGAATGAGATAGATGAATCCCCTGCAGAAGATATCCGCTAGCATCGCAGAATATCCTCGTCACTAGTTTAGAACAAACACCGGATAGTCTATGGGAATTGGACTAGCTATTGATGCATTAATGACTACCTAAGGGTGTTCGATTGTAGGTGGGGAGCGCGGCACGTATTCCTTTTCGTTCTTTCTTTCTATTATCCTCACTTAATGACGCCACATCAGCAAAGGCCGCAGAGTCAAAGTACCGTCAGATTCCTAGGCTACGGAATCATTTTGCCGGCTGTCTCCGACACATGCCCCGGGCGTGCCTCGTATCACCAAAATCAGGGCGGTTGTTTGACCCAGGGTAGATTGTATAAAGAGGGCTAGAGCTTTCCCCATGGACGAGTACTGAATCCATCAAATTCAAGTTCAAATGGCTTCCCGCATCAACTCCACGAGTGTGCCCTCTGGCATGCTGCCATCAGCGATCGAGGAACTGATTCCGGGCCTTGATTTCTTTTCCCATTTGGTTTCTCTCTTTTTCAATATTGATATCTCATCTCACCTACGTATCTCTGCGGCAGTCCTGGCCTTTTTGTCCTTCGCTCTCCCAGCATGTTGCAACCGGATTATTTTTCTCTTCCTATATTTTGCAACGTCGACTGAGATATGGAGCCATAACAAATTGTATCCGAGCGCCATGCGCTGGATATCCCTCCAGCCAGCTTTGAATCGGACCCGTCAGCTGGTAGCAGGTACAAGGACAAGTCTATCCACGCCATGGGATGGCGACGATGGCAAGGCCGATGATGAGAAAGACGTTCCCACGGATAACCGATTATTTAGTCAGAGCCCAAGGGAATTTTGGCTCAAAAGAAAACGTCATCATCATCTCGGTACACTCCGGTATACACCTTCGCAGGATAAAATCCATTTTTTCACGTACAAAGGCTCTTGGGTCGCATTGTATCGTCAGCCGTATAAGGAAGCAGTGAGCCCCTGGTTTGCGAGTATGGAGAGACTTCATTTTTATGCAGTGCCGTGGAAAAGACACGTTCTCGATGATCTCATGGATGAGATTCATAAGACACCTGTTAACGGAGATCCCAAACAAGTCGCTGTGTACGAGGGGTTCAAGGTGGGGTCCAGTTTCCAATGGATGCAAGTGGCATCTAAAGAGCCCCGCTTCTTATCGACTGTAGCTTTGGATCAAGATAAAAAGAGGCGTGTTGTTGAAGATCTCCAGGAATTTCTAGACCCCAGGACCAAGAGCTGGTACGTGTCCCACGGGATCCCGTATCGACGAGGCTATCTCATTTATGGTCCGCCGGGTACTGGCAAGTCAAGCCTGTCACTAGCACTTGCCAGCTTTTCGTATTTGGATATATACGCGCTCAGCCTGAGTGCAGTTGGCCTTGATGAGACCGCCTTGGCTACTTTGTTCCGAGACCTACCAAAACATTGCATTGTTCTCCTGGAAGACATCGACGAAGCCGGCATCAAGAAGCGCAGCAGCGATAACCCCCCGAGCGGAAAGCCGGATCACAATGGACTCGACCGTATCCAGTGGTCACCTGGGAGTGTCACCCTTTCTGCCGTCTTGAACACTACTGACGGCGTAGCAGCGCAAGAGAACCGCGTTTTGATCATGACCACCAACCACCCCGAGCGGGTGGATCGCGCTCTCTTGCGCCCAGGGCGTGTGGACATGAAAATCAACATGGGCCCAGTCGAATGGCAAGAAGCTCGGCAGATATTTCTCATGGTTTATTTGCAACCTACCGACACTCGTTTTATGGAGATCACACCAGTATCCATACCAGCCAACCCTGATTGGAGGCTGGAAGATATTGATAACTTATCCACTGCATTCGCCAGCGAAGTGCCTTCGGGCCGGTTCACAGCTGCGGAATTGCAGAGATATCTTTTGCAGTACAAGCATGATCCTTCTGCCGCAGTGAGCAACGTGAAGCAGTTATTATTCGGCCTTGAGTGCGACACGGACCTATCGGCTTTTCGCATCACAGAATCGCCAGATCAATATAGATTCGACGACACTGCCTACTGTATCAGAGTTAGTGCCCTTATATTCTTGTGGGACTTGCCAGAACCTTATATGCTTCTTATTCAACGCGCTCTTTGCGATAGCAAACCTGAATGGTGGGAGGGACCTGGTGGGCGTCAGGAAAAACATGACAAAACACCGCGAGATGCCCTAGAGCGAGAGGTTCGGGAAGAGACTGGTCTGAAACTGTCCCGAGTCATTCACGCTCTCCCAATTCAGACCTGGACGCGATCTAGGGAAGGCAAACAGCAGGAATGGATTGGCCTTCCATATATTATTCAGGTCTCCGAGTTCGAACCTTCTACCCCCTACGAAAATAGGCAAGCTGTGTCAAGGCGAGCACTAGAACGGAAGGATATAATACAACTGAATCCTAAGGAACACCAAGCTTTTGCATGGGCAACAGAGGAAGAGGTGCGATGCGACAAGTATAAAATGTTTGGAAACCATAAGGAGACTGCCCTCAAGGCTTTTGAAATAGTGAAACAGAACTGCTTAGTCTAAGTCCAATGTCGGCGGATAGGGTGTTGGTATGGTATGGCGCTGAAAGATGAGGCTGGATGGTTTGAATGATGGAAGCCACGTGAAAGAGGTGTAAATTCGACAAGCATAAGGATAAATGCAGACGTCAGGATAGTATTCATGGATGCATATAGAGGTCCGTCCCATCGAGAAAGAAGCGGCGAAAGCCAATACAAACTGTCTGGGTGATTCTATATGGATGAACCTCCATACCTGGTCTCTCCACATGAGATCTATATCTGGAACTTAATCCAAACAAACCTCTGAGCAGAATTTCGGTTCTGGAGACGCCATCTTCTCTACCAAATATTGCGGGCCCCACTTGATAGTAAAAATGTGTGGACCTAGCCAGCTTTACTGTGCGGATCCTACGAAAAAGGCATGCGTTGTTTGGAGCGACGACGGTTTAGAAAAAGGGTTACCCACTCATCTTATCTTCGACGTGGACAATCCGAAGAGCTCCTTTCAAGACCTGAAAGCCAATGCATATCCTTCCAATGAGACTAAGCATATGGGGAAGGCTAACTTCTGCCTATGTGCGTTCTGGATGTAAGTATAGCGGTACGAGAAATGGGGATTAGGTTTCTGATCAAGATATTACCACTACATAGCGTGGAGGTAATCCATCGGTACAGGACCAAAAACTACATTAATGAAATGCCAAGAGGAAAGTTCAAGCACGGAAGCCTAGGCGAGGATCTCATCAAGGTCCGGGAGAACCATCGAAAGGGCGTGACTAAAAATGTTCAGTAGTATGTTACAGATCCAATGCACTTACGGTCACCTCGGGATCTCCTTTGTTTGGATTGAGCACTTCTGCAATTATGAATACTATTTAAAAACAAAAAATCCAGAAGTCAGAAAATGATGATAGTATCTATTCTTTCCTTTCGAATGTCTTCTCCCAATGCCTCAGCTTCTAATATGTTATCGCAAAATTTAAACCTCGCAATGGGAAACGAACCTACCACTGTCGATGACGCCATTCTGTATTTTCGGGGCGTAAGGGACAAAAAATGTATTTTCGATGGAAGAATCTTTTCAATGTATGTCACCCTCAATACCTTTCACCCTGTTAAACCGGACTGCCCTGTGCGTGTCCTTATACGTGGACCCAGAGATGTCGATATGCGAGAACCCACACTGTGCGCAGCTTCTGATCGTGTGGTTAGGCAAGAGATAGACGTTTTATTGTACAACATATCGTGCTATGAGAGGGACAGGCAATGGACACTGGGACAATTCGAGCGAAGCGCATTTTTGTTCATCAAGCTTGGAGGCCACGGACCCGAAGGGCACCATGTACCTCGGCGAGTTGATTATGTGCATATGAGCCCAGACGTCATCTGGGAGAAATTACAATCATTCGAGAACAACCATTTATTTCCACTTCTGAACACGAGGTTACGTGACTCGGCTGAAGATGTTGATACGTTCTTGAACTCTCTACAACAAGGAATTAAACTGGATATTGGAGATTGTTTGGAGAGAATTCAATCGGTTTTTCAAAGGCAAGTCAGCATTTTCTACGCGCACTGCAGTAGCAGTAAAAAGGAATAACTGACCAAGCAAATGAAGCACAATCTCCGTCAAATGTGCACCTAGAGCAGCTGAACACTGTAAATCTCACTGGTGCTTAGTTTTCGAGCAACGGTTCACTGAAATCAGCGGCAGCCCAACCAAGACCGGTATTGAGTGGTATGAAGACGGTGATAGGGATCCTACACATGATATTACGTACCCTGTCAAAACAGACCCCGGCCTCAAAGAACTGAAAAATTGTGCGTTGCAATTTCAGCCTCGTGGAAATACGACAGAGCACTGGTCGTGCCCTTGTGCATTGTGGGTGTAAGTTTTAAAAAGCCAAAGCACACAATCATGCTCTGACGGCGTATAGATCTACTGCTATACATGAATGTATTCAAAAGGGCTATGTCCAGGGTATATCATCCTGTGGTATTAGTGCCCCGAACCTGGTTTTCAAATTGATCTACCGCCCGCTAGGAATATGACGGGTATGTCTTTACGGAAGTGTTGCCTCGGTAAAGGGTCCGAGAAGAGTAGACTGGCTTGTTCAATCGCAGCAGTGGCTTTACAGATGGTGGTCAATTCATACCCTTACCCCTTGCTAGGAGAGATGCAAGATGCCACTATCTAGTCCTTGTGTATGTTTATGTATAGTAATCCTTATCGGTTATGGCTTTAC